CGACAGGCGTAGGACTGCCTAGGTTGCCTAGTCTAGTCGCTGCACCGGCTCCGTCCCCGGCCTCCGCCACTGCGTCGCTGTCCTTCACTCTCGACTCTGGTGCTTCTGCCTGCTTCTTCCGCGACCGTTCCACGCTCACGCCGCTTGCTGCACCTGCTGTTGTCTCTCTCGCTGACCCCTCTGCGGGTCCGGTCGTCGCGCGCAGTTCTACGTCCCTTCCCTGTCCGGCAGTTCCCTCGGGCTCCCTTACTGGCCTCCACGTTCCCTCGTTCTCCAGGAACCTGGTTGGTGTCGGCTGTCTCCAGGACCTCGGCGTCACCACCACGTTCCCCGGGCACGAGCGGTTCGCTGTCTGTTCTGAGGCTGTCTCAGGTTCCCCCCTTGCGACGTTCCCCCGGGACCCGGTGTCCGGTCTGTTTACCCTACACACCGCTTCCCCCCCGGTTGGTGCGTCCTCCCAGGTCGCTGCAGCTTGCTCGTGTCGGTCCCTCACTCACCCCTCCCTTCTCTGGCACCACCGCTTAGGTCACCCTGCTCTCCCGCGTCTGCGTCACATGTCCCAGCACGGTCTTGTCTTAGGTCTCCCCGCGTCGCTCCCTGCCCTTCCTCCCTCGACTGCGCCACCGTGCACGCCTTGCGTCGAGGGTCGGCTCCGCCGTGCTCCTCACTCCTCCTCGCTGCGTCCTGCTACTGCCCCCCTTCAGACCCTGCACTTGGACGTTTGGGGCCCTGCCCCCGTCCCCGGACCGCGCGGTGAGCGCTACTTCCTTGTGCTCGTCGACGACTACACGCGCTACACCACGGTGTTTCCCCTGGAGCGGAAGGCCGACGTGCCCGACGTTCTTCTCCCGTGGGTTGTGGCTGCGCGTCTCCACCGCGGTCTCCCCGTGTTGTGTCTCCACTCCGACCGTGGCGGCGAGTTCGCCTCTGGTCGGCTTGGACAGTTCTGTCGTGCGGAGGGCATCACCCAGTCGTACACGTTGCCGGACTCGCCACAGCAGAATGGGGTTGCTGAGCGCCGCATCGGCTTGGTCATGGAGGTCGCCCGTACCTCCATGATCCATGCCGATGCCCCCCATTTTCTGTGGCCGTTCGCTGTTCGCTACGCGGCTCACCAGCTTAACCTGTGGCCACGCTCCCAGCGGCCGCAGGTTTCGCCGACCCTCCTTTGGACCGGGTCCCCCGGTGACGCGTCTGCGTTCCACGTCTGGGGCTGCCTTGCTCACGTTCGTGCCTCTGGCACGGACAAGCTCACTGCCCGCACTGTCCCCTGTGTCTTCCTCGGTTTCCCCCTCGACTCGTCTGACTGGCTTTTCTACCACCCGCCGTCTCACCGCTTCCTCCACTCTCGTGACGTCACCTTTGACGAGTCCGTCTCCTTCTACCGCCGCTTCCCTCACCGAGGTCTCCCAGTTGCCCCCCCCTTTTCCTTGCTCCCTCTCCCCCGGTAGCCCCTGCCCCTCTCCCGCCTCGTCCTGCCCCGTCTGGTGTCTCCCACGTCACTCCCCTCCCGTCGGTTGTCCCCGTTGAGGAGTCTGCTGACTCTGGTGGTACCCCCGGTCCGTCCTTGCCGCGTCCCCCTTCCCCGGTGCCTCCGCCCCCACTGTCGCAGTCGCCGACCCCGCTGCCGCCGCCGTCGCCGTCGCCGCCGCAGCCGTCGCCGCTGTCGTCGCCGCCGCCGCCGCTGTCGCTGCCGCAGCCGTCGCCGCTGTCGCCGCCGCCGCAGCCGTTGCCGCCACTGCCGCCGCTGCTCTCGGCCCCTGGGGGTGCTGGTGTGGAGGAGGGTGTTCGTCCAGCGGCTTCTGGGGGTGCCGCTGGTGTTGGAGGGGGTTCTCGCTCTGGGGGTGTTGGTTCTGGGGGTGCTGCTGTTGAGTGTTCTGCCGACGGTCGTTCTGCCTCTGCTGGTCCGAGAGTTCCGGCCCAGCCGTCGTCGCCGCCGCAGCAGCCGTCGCCGCCGGTTTCCGCTCTCCGCCTGCTCGGCCTTCCCTCCCCGGACCGCGCGCCGGTGTCTCCCCCACCGCCTCCTGACCTCCCTGTCTACGGTCCTGTGTTCCCGCCGCCAGACTCGTCTCCGGCCCGTCTTCCTCCTCGTTCCCCTCCTGTGTCTCCTCCGCTGTCCCCTGACCCTACCCCTCCGTCTCACGTTTGGGCTCGCCGTCCCTCCCGTGCTCGTCCCGTCTCTCCTGTCCTGCCCACCCACCCTATGTTGCTCCGTTCCCACTCGTCTCGTCCTCCCCTCCTCCCGTCCCCTCCTCCCTCGTCCCTTGCTGTTGCACCTCCTCCGTTCTCTGACTACCTCCGTGCTGCTCGTCCCCTTGTCCCTCGGGTCCTTGCCTCTCTTGTTACCGACCCTGCTGTTCCTGTCTCGCGCCTTAACGCGCTTGTCGCTGCTGTCGCTGACTTCGCTTCTACCCGCCGCCTTGACTACGCTACCGCTCTGGTCTCTGACCCTGCCCGTCCTCTGTCCGTCGGGGGTGCTCCTGCCCTTGGCAGTGACGTCCTAGAGGACAGGCAGTACGAGCTGGCTTTCCTTTCCGAGGCTGCTCCCCATCTCTGCTCCATGCTGTTAGTCCCTGAGGGTGACCCAGACGCCTTCGACATCCCGACCCCTCGCACCTACGCTGAGGCCACCTCGGGACCTTGGGCCTCTCAGTGGATAGCTGCCATGGAGCAGGAGATGGCATCTTGGAGATCCACCGGCACTTACGTCGACGCAGTTCCCCCGCCTGGGGTGAACGTAGTCGATGGTCGGTGGCTCTTCAAGGTGAAGCGCCCCCCTGGAGAGCCGCCTGTCTTCAAGGCGCGCTACGTGGCCAGAGGTTTCAGTCAGCGCGAGGGGGTTGACTTCTTCCAGACCTTCGCCCCGACCCCGAAGATGACCACTCTTCGGGCGCTGCTACACGTAGCAGCAAAGCGTGACTACGAGCTTCACTCCCTCGACTTCTCTACTGCCTTTCTTCAGGGCAGCCTACACGAGCAGGTCTACCTGCGCCGACCACAGGGCTTCACTGGTACCTTCCCTCCTGGGACCCAGTGGCTTCTCAGGCGCCCGGTCTACGGCCTGCGTCAGGCTCCCCGCGAGTGGCACGACACGCTACGTGCCACGTTAGCAGACCTGCAGTTCTTTCCGTCCTCTGCTGACCCTTCACTGTTTGTGCGTTCCGGCCAGACTCCGTTCTACATCCTTGTCTACGTAGACGACCTGGTCTTTGCTACTGCTGACAGGGACGCACTGGCCTCTGTGAAGGCTGAGCTGCTGAAGAGACACACCTGCACTGACCTTGGAGAGCTGCGTCGCTATCTTGGCCTGCAGATCTCTAGGGACAGAGCAGCACGCACCATCACTCTGACCCAGTCACACTTGGTGCGTCAGGTCCTTCAGAGGTTCGGTCTTCAGTTCTCCTCCGCACAGCCCACACCTCTACCCGTAGACCATGGGCTCTCTGCTCCCGTTCCTGAGGAGCCAGTAGAGCCCAGTGGCCCCTACGCAGAGCTGGTGGGTTGCCTCATGTACCTGATGACTTGCACTCGCCCAGATCTCGCATACCCTCTCAGCATCCTGGCTCGCTTTGTGGCTACAGGCAGACACCGACCTCAGCACTGGTCTGCCGCTAAGAGGGTTTTGCGTTATCTTGCTAGTACATCAGGCATGGGGTTAGTGCTAGGAGGACGCAGGCCAGTGGTCCTTACTGGGCACACAGACGCTTCTTGGGCAGACGACGCTGAGACACTCAGGTCGTCGCAGGGCTACTGTTTCAGCCTTGGTTCGGGTGCTATCTCTTGGAGATCCACTCGCTCGTCGTCTGTGGCTCAGTCTAGCTGTGAGGCTGAGATCTACGCTGGTGCCATGGCGGCACAGGAGCTCCGCTGGCTGACCTTCTTGCTCACAGACTTAGGTGAGCGGCCTAGCTCTGCCCCGGTCCTGTACGCTGACAACAGGGCCATGATACTCCTGTGTCAGGAGCCTCGGCTTGAGGGCAGAGCGAAGCATATCCAGCTGCGGTACTTCCTCCTGCGCGAGCTACAGCAGCGCCGCCAGGCCCGCGTAGTTCACTTGGCCTCAGGTGCCAACACAGCTGATATCTTTACTAAGGCGCTTGCGCCTAAAGATCATCAGCGGCACTGTGTACAGCTTGGTCTTGTTCCTATAGCTGCTCCCCTGTTAGGATCCTGATTGTGTACTCTCTATTATATATGCTTGTCAGACTGGCCTTGTGGCCTTACCTCCAGTGGCTGGACTAGTAGTGCCACCCTGGCTTGCTTCAGTTTTGGTTGTATTCTTGCTGACTGGTCTCCAGACCCCTGCCTCAGTGGTTGGACTAGTAGTGCCGCCCTGAGCTGTTTGCTTCTTGTTTAGTTTCACCCCTTGTCTAGCCTAGGGGGTGTGTCAACTTATACATATTATCTATGTAGAAGTTATAGGCTAGACTGAGGTATGCTTCTAGTGAGTACAACCAACTAGTATTTGTTCTAGGTTTCCACCTCTAGTAATCATTCGTTTCTACGTTAACACTGCTCTCATACCATGTAATAATTTGACAGGTGTTGCAGGAGACTAAGTATAGAATCTGCTAACACGAGTACTTAACCAAGGATCTTTGCTGGAATGGTAGACTAGTAAGACAGCGTAAGTCTTATCAGAGTGAACCTGAGCACATGAACTTGTGGGTAGTCGAAGGTTGAATAACTTGAGCACATAATTATGTGGAAAGTCAAGGTTAATAATAGAAAGGCATTACAAGGATTTATAGCTCTAGGGAAAGTACCTGTTCGCTAATGTACTTGTTCGCGCTATGCGACCTATTCGTCATACTATAGGGTCGCGACTGTTCGCGTGACTGAAACGACTCGTTACGCCTAATCTCGTAACTGAAGCGGTATGCTGACGTCATCCGGAGACGCGTGATGGTTTGCTGACATCAGCACTCGGGCATGGATGCTTACTGAAAAACTCGATACCGCTAGCTACACTGAAAACGAAACTTGCAGGAATGCAAAACTTCATTTACCACAACACTAATTACAATCAAATTCGCAACAGCATTGATGCATGTTGCATCAAGCAACAGAGACCCTACCACCACCCAACCCAAACCCAATATCTGCTACGCACCCGCGAGAGGCCTGCACAACCCTCCACAAAACACAAGAGTACTGTCCGCTTCCAATCAGGAGAGCTTCTAGGCAGATTATTTATCTTGGTCAAATCAGCAGAGGCTGTCGCACCAGGAGATCACAATGCGGTGACCTCTCAGCAGATCAGCAGGCAGACAGTCATTTCACCACCATGGTGCAGGTTGCATCTCACAACCATCTGGTGCAGGTTGCCTCTGGTGGAGGCTGCACTTCACCACCATTGGTGCAAGCACATCACAATCCAGCATTCCGTTAGTGAGTGTCAATGGTGTCAGAATCGCCACATCAGCGGACAGGCCATGTCAGCAGCCAGTCAGCATCTGATGCCTGCAGAACCGAAGTCAAGTGGGCGGAAGAGCCTCCTTAGATTGCCAGAAGGGCGGCGAGGAGCTTGAGCGGACGGCATTCTGAAATCCTCTAATGTCGCTCTTGCTGGGGATGCAAGCGGAATATTGGAATCGGCTCCAGATCTGACGCAAGCTTCAGGTTCGGCATCTTGAGCCTCGGAACTGTCCAGCACTGTCCTCTCGCTTGTTTCACGCTCCACATTGTCACACCGGGTCGTGGTTGTCGCAGTGATATTGCCGCCGTTGATGCCCCCAAGACGTGAAATGAATGTGGTAAATGACGCTTTTACGGGTGTTCCAGGACACTGTATTGGGGGAGGAATCCGGGAACCCTCTCCTTGGGGTGTAGAAAGCTCCACAGAATTTTCGGATGTCACAGCGAGTGAATTAACGGAACGGGGATTTGGTGTAGAGAACCCGGCAGATGAGAGCGGCTCCAAACGGTGAACGAGTTCTGCTTCCACCGAGGATGACGCGCGATCGCACCGACGGAAGTCTGCTTGTGACGGAGACGAATCGACACCGTCAATAGTTGTTACGACGCTGCATGCTCGCCGACGCGGAGAATAAAAAATATGCGCTCCCTTGTCGGCTACAAATTTCTCTGCCTTCTCGTGTTCCGAAGCGCCTTCAAACGCGGATGCATGCGGCCGCTGGAAGAAACGAAGGCACGAAGGGGGAGGGGAGATGAGATATGGAGAAACAAGGGAAATGAGAAAAACGGGGGGCGAGTGAGCGAGGAAATCGAAGCCGGTTTCCACACGCGCGAAAAAATCGTGAGACTTCTTCGCGCGTGCAATGGAGAACCAAGTAATATCCACGTCATCCCTTTACAACGAAGCCCCCACTCCCATCCCTGCAGTGCGATCTAGCAAAATCTGGATAAATGAAGGCCCCTCAGCCGTACCTTGGTGCCAGAACGAGATCCAACGGCCACGGGCGCTTCAGAAGCATCGGCCACGGAATCGGACGGTGCATGCTTCTCGATAACCAGCGCGCTCGGACTAGACGCGTCCACCGTATCAGCGGTCCCGTTATTGGCACGATTGGTGAACGCCGACCGACGGACTTCGTCGCGTTCGCGAAGAGCGACCGCGTCGCTGGCAGCATCGCCCATGATGGTAACCATCATGGCGACTGGCGAAAGGAGCTGCGGCGACGACTCAGTTCCACTCGATGCGTCGCCCTCGGCGCTTTCCCCGGTGAGGCGTCGCAAGACCATAACCATGTTCGAGCCCGTCCTTATAACGAGGATTAAAGCCTTAGATGTCGCCGCGTTTAGAGGTCTGGGGCTTCGCGCTCCCACGCTATAAAGGGCTGGATGTAGGCTATGCGCCGGAGAAGGCGTAAGACACAGACGGAGTGCAGCACCGCTGGCAGCGGCGAAAGCGTTGGTGGGACTCGCGAAATAGCAGCGGGCGAAAACCGCGATGCAGAGGCGCAGGACTCGGTCCTTGGCGAAAGTGGAAACCGGCAGCGACAAAATGCAGGTTCCTTCAGGCTGGGAGCGAGAGCAATGCGGATGATAAGTTAACTTCTTCTGAAGTCTTATCTTGAGGAAGCTCCGAAAGACGACGGGACGGGCTGGCTTTCTTGCTTCCTCCGACTCGAAAGCTGAAAATCGAGGAGAGAAAGATGGATTCTAGCACTCGAATAAGGCGCTAATGCGAGCTCTGGTGGGATACGTGTTCCGTCCTTGCGCTTCTGATACACAAATTTGATCTGAGAAAGACCAGGAGATTGTTTGAGAGCACAGGAGTAAGCGGCCCTCGGAAATTGGAATGGGAGTCAAGTCGAGCGAGGGTTATGTGATGCGATTGCTGTCGTGCGAGCGAGTCTCTGCTGTGCGTGCATGGTGGTGTGAGTGATTTGACGTGAGGGTGAGGGAGGGCGCAATGCTGCCTGGGGTGGAGGGAAGGGAAGGGAGGGGGGTTCACAGGTGCATGCAGGCACCACCTCGCAGCCTGCGTGGGTTTGACGATGTTCAAAAAGCGCAGATACTTTGGTCGGACTGGACGGAGCCTGAGAAGGAAATAAAGCGCGGTGGGGGGGAGGGGGAAGCGTGTACTGTTCTGTAGTATGTGTGAGTGAGTGTGGAGTGAGTGTACGTGTGTGTGTCTCTGTGTGTGGCTGTGTGCGCGCGAGTGTGGGGTCGCAATGAGGTGCCTGCCAGGGCGAAATGGGGTGTGCAATTTGGGAATTTTTACGCTGGGTAACTCTTCCTCTTCATTTTTTTCGATCTAGTCATTCTTTTCTCATTTCAGTCAATGTTTCCTCGAGTCGACATAAGCAGCGTCAAACTTTTTGTTCAGTTTGATGCCGCATGGCAAAATATTTCGACACGTGTCTCAGAAATGCCATTTCTCAAAACATCGAGAGATAAATATCTAACAGCCAAACTTTGAAGAGAAAACTTCATATCCAGTAGAGGATTCTGTCCTCGTTTACATTCGCGCACAGCTCCGCGACGCGTTATTGAGATAGACATGTCGATTAGGGCAGCCTGAAACAAAATAAAACCCGCAGCACCCCGTATATATACGGACATGTCAATTGGGGCAGCCTGAAACAAAATAAAACCCACAGTGGCCCGATATTCGACTTGGGGTGGCATCAACCCTGAAGACGCACAAAGCCGCGAGATTAGGTTTGATGCCACCGCGAGTCGCATGCGGGCTCCTGATGGGTTTGAGTTTTGTGGGCATTCCAAAAAACAAAACGTCAGAAATAGTGACATAAGTCTAGTTTACACCTTGAAGAATGGCTTGATAGATTTCTGCGACGATATACTGTTTTCCATTCTGGCATTTTCGTAACAACCAGTAAATTCGCACACGTTCAGTTGTGCAATTTGTGTGCGCTTCGTGTTCTCTCTGTTTCTAGCCACAAGAAGACAACACTTGGCTAGTCAGTCCTCGCGTAAAATTTTCTACTGCGAAACATGAATGTGAGTGAAAACGAATGTCGGTTTCAGATAAATTTTCATTTTTTTTGTCACCACAAATAGTCTCCCGATTCTCTGAGATTTCGCCATTTTCAGACACGTGTCGGAAGATTTTGCCATGCGGCATCAAAATGAACAAACATTCTGACTCTCCTGATTTCGATTCGATAAAACATTGACTGGGATGAGAGAAGAGTGACAGAATCGGGGAAACGAAAATTAAGAGTTACCCAGCGTATGATTTCCCGTGCAATTTCCATCAATCACCAAACCAGCGCAGGCTTCCCAAGCTTGGAAAAAGTACCCCCCCGTAGGCTTGTCCTTGCACAATGTCCCACCGAACCCATGCAGGTCTCGCTGGATGGATAGGCTCGGCGAGGGGCTCGTCTGGTCTGGTCTTCTGCAGTACATTATTGCCTGTCCTTGCGCTCTGTGGGTTGCGTTGCATTGTGTTGTGTTGTGTTGCATTGGTTTGGGTTTGTTTGTGCCCCTGCCTACGTGGCTCATCCCGTGGGCACGAAACGAAACGCGAGATGCATTCATCATCACTGGTCTTCGCGTCGTGGACAGGAGCCAAAAAACAGGGTTACACCGGATGCGCGCCCAACAACTTTAAGTTTTACAAACCGCGTGGGCGTAATGCACGCACTTTTTCCGCCAGCCTTCTCCATGGGAGAATGGGCCGTTAAGTGGACACTTGTGCTTTCGCGAGCTCCTTTGCATGGACACTTTCGCCGCCGCCGTGTCGCAGGTGCCACAAAACCCCGGTGAAAGGGCCATCAGATGAAAGAGCCGTTGCCCGTAATTGGTGGCGGTTGGGCGTAGGTTGGAGGGTGGGTCCGGTTAATTTTTCGGCACTCTCTGGACACCTGTTGTAGGAGGCACGGCTACGGAAAATTCTGCAAGCTAGCACTTTGGCGGGGGGAAGAGGGGAGGAGGGAAGGGGATGTGGGGGGGAGGCGAGGAGCGAGGGGGAAGGAAATGCTGAGAAAGTGCTGCTGTGTGGGCTGGACTGTACTTAGCCAGAAGACATCATTCGATTCGTTATGGGATTCTGACCAGAGCGAAACGAGTGATGCTGAAGTGACCGACCGTAGCAAATGGGGAGGGGAAGGTTTGACCTTGTTCTGGGTGCGGAGAAATTGGCGACTGACCACCACCACACATCACATTCAGTGTGGTTTTTTGCTGTATTTGCTCATGAAATGGAGGTGGGAGGCTGGATGGCAAGGTGGGGGGGAACGAAGACTGTAGAAGCCGGGATAAAGGGCAGCCACAAAACGATTTCGAAACGCAAGCTCGGCAGACAAACTTGGCTGTAACTGTAAAAAAGGGAGTGTGCCAGACAAACAGCCAAGATTTCTTCGAAGCACGGCTCCAGAACAGTACAAATAGAAGGTTGTTCTTCATTGGCTGATAGCCGCGTCGTCAACGCGATCGTAAGCCGCGCCACGTCATGCTGACACTTCAACCAGTCAGGTGATTTTTCCGAGTCCAATCACTGGCAGAACTGTAAGTGACACATCAGCTTGGTGACCTTTTCAGCCGAGCTGTCTTGCTGCTCCTCAAAAAGTGTGATAGGATCTGGAAGGCCTGGAACTGTCCTTGCGGGTACGATATCCGATAGAGTTTGGGTGGTCTTGGTAACATGCTTCCTCGTGGAGATGAGATGCAATTCGGACCATCCACTCAGGTCCGGTTTGTTTGGCGGGAAAACTTGTTCCCCCCATCCCCAACTTGAGGCGCGGGAGCTTCTTCCCGCCACAAGAACCGTGAGACAGCATCGTCACACGCCTCCGTGAAACCAGCACGTCAGCTACAGCACGACAAGCAATCCCCATGTCATCAACACGCATTCGTACCTGTTAAAAATCGATCCGTTTGACGCGAGCATATCACCAGTCCGTTCAGCACACTTATCCCACTAGTGGCAAGCCTTTCCAATAGGAAAAACATACACACAACACAAACAAAGCACACATGAAGCTAGGCAAAATGCATTTGACCCTCGTGTTGTGCTTTAGAGAAAAATACACCAACTGTAAACAAAGCACATTGAGAAGTCGCATCAGCACAACACCCTAGTAGAGCTGAAGTCTAAAGGACGAAAAAGCCTTCTGAGGTTTCTAGACAACCGCCCCATATGCGTGACTCTGACGGCACTACTACTTGGTGCAGGAGCATCTGTAGAAGAAGCGCCAGTAGAAGCAGCAGCAGCATTGCCTGCAGCATCTACAGTCTGTCCGGCTGAGTGATAAAACATTGCAGTGGGAGCCACTGTTGAAGTAAGTACAGAAGTGATTGCGGCTAGAGGCAATGGCTGGATAATCGAGTCATTTTCTGGTCTAGAGCAAGCTGCAGTATCTGAATCCCGAGCTCCGACACACTGCAGCACTGCCCTTCCACTATCAATCTCCACACGATCACACCAACTTGGATGTGCAATGCTGTTGTTGCTGCAAAATGTGCAGCGATCGCAGCTGAGTCGTGAAATGAACTTGCGGTATGGAACCTTTCGAGGTGCGCCCGGACACTGCTCCAGAACAGGGATCCGGTACATCTCTCCGCAGGGTGTAGAGAATCCAGCCGAATTTTCTAGCATGAAGACGGATGTGATGGGATCTGAAAGCGGTGTAGTAAATTTGCTTGAAAAATTCAAGCGGGTAGCTGGTTCTGCTTGTAGGGAGAATGCTGCGAGATTGGCCGGATGAGAATCTGCGAGATCTGCTTGTGATGGGGAGGAATCGTCATGAACGGTTGTGAGCGCGCTGCATGGCTGCTGACGTGGATTTGCAAATTTCCCACATCCCACCATACTCTCCGGCGACTTCTCGTGTTCCGCGGTTGAACTGCCTTCAAACGCGGATGCGTGTCGTCGCTGCAAGGTCGGGCACAGAACGGGAAAAGCGGGCAGATGGGAAAAAAGGGGGTCAGGGGTACTAGTGAGCTGGGGACTGGAGCCACCCACGGAAGGTGGCGATGTTTTTTACATAAAGAACCTCAAGTCCCTGCTTAGATCCCCCACCCACTTTCTTCCTCTTTCCCTTCCCGCTTTCCCAACCGCCCCCCTCTCACCCCCCATTCCCCCCCCTCTCCGCTCCTCCCCCAACCAACACCCGCTCTCCCCCTTCCCCCTCTTCCGACATCCTCACCCGCTCGCTCGTCACTCCCTCGCCCCTAACCTCAGCCGCACCTTGTTTCCGGAAAGGGAGTCTGCGACGCGCGCGGCAGTGGCAGGAGTAGAACCCATAAAATCGGCCGGTTCGAGCTTCTTGGTGGTAGCAGCTCGCAGCGCGCCGAGCGTGGAAGCATCGGCTCCATGATTGCGACCCACCGCGCACGCGCACTCGGAGTGCGGCACTTCAGCACCATGCGCGGCTGCCTCGCGGATAGTAGTAGTCGTCGCAAGAACGGCGAGCGACGAACGGCGATCGAATTCGTCGCATGACTTGTCACGAGCGCCGGCAGGACCGGCGACGCCGCTGGCAAATTCACGGCTAGTCGCCGGTGCAGTTGGTGTGCGACTCGGAGTCAGTTCGCTCGCATCGGCGAACGGCGGCAAGTCAAGTCCAGACGAGTCGCCCTGAAGGCCGGTTTCCGCAGCGAGGCTAGGCGAAAGGGTTCCCATTTTCACGCGCGAAAAGAGACTCCGGTGCACTCGCTCGAGTTCTTGCTAGCTCGGCGTGGCGCTGTTAGAAATGTTAAGGCTTAATCCCGGCGCGGTGTTGGGAAGGTGGCTAGCAGCGGCAGCGCGCGGAGAGTTGATTCGAGGAATACGCGGGTCGCACTTTGAGAGAAATAAATGTACTAGTACTAGCAAGTACGCGCCGCGAGCGGGGGTTTCAAAAAGCACGGCCGTGTGCCCCATAAAGTTGTCTCGTTTCCTCTGTTCAAACAAGCTTCTCGACAGCCTCGGTTGAGTAAGCTAAGCACCAGGACGAACAGCGTCGTGCGAAAACGGCGGATTGGCTCTCCAGAGTCTGAAGCAGCATTGGTCCCTCTGCTCCTCCCAACTCTCCGAGAGAAGTCGTCGTATGGACGGCTGGCCAAGTTAGCGCGGGTGAGGGGCGCAGCGCAGCAGAGCGCAACGCGCAACACGGGGGAAACACAGCGCAGCGCTGCGGATTGCCAATCGCAGCGGCAGAGAGTGCGCGTGAGGAGCACGGTGGTGTGTGTGTGGGAGAGTGGGTGCTGTGCGTCCTGGCCCTGGCGCGGGGTCACGGGACGGTCACGGGACGGGACTCTCGTCACGTCATGGGGCGGGAGGGACGGAGGGACGGGAGGGACGGGAGGGACGGAGGACGGAGATTTTTTATCATCAGGGACGGCGGGGCAGGAAGGACAGCAACAGCCATGCTCGCTGGTTTGATCGCCGGACCCAGTCAATTTGTCACTCAATCCGAGCTCTGCTCTGCTCTGCTCTGCTCTTCGTGGTCTGGCCAGGGAGATACTCTTTTTCGTGGGTTGGACGACACAAGTGCAGTGTCCACTCTGCTCTGCTCTGCAGTCTGTCCAAGGCTTTCATTTCAAAAAATTGAGTACATGTACGTAAAAGAAAGTCTCGTCATTGGACAGCGGTCTGCTCTGCTGCCCCGGCCGAGGCTCTTCGCGGATACGGACGGCCCCTTCCAAAACATAACAATTTACGGGGGAAAGGTGTAATTGCCGGCCGTTGCTGACCGCAAACGAAAAACGAAATATTACTGTGCTGTAGTCCAGGGGGGACGAAGCAGGGGAGAACAGAGTGCAAGGCAGGTTGGATTGACCTTCCAACCCTCGTCCCGTCGTTGAAGCGCAACCTGCTTCCACCGAATGAAAACATCGTGAAAAACATTTGATCGTTTTTTTTTTTTTTTTTTGAAGATACTGCAGCTGCATCACAAATGCCTATCTTCGGCCATAGTCGTGGCTCCGTGGCTGTGCCACTGATTCTTCTTGTCTCATTAGTCGCTTGCGAGCGGCAAGGGCGGAGCGATGCGATGTGAGCCGAGGCGAGGCGAGAAGGGGGGAAGAAGGGGAGTGAGGGAATGGGGAGGGGAGGGGAGCGGAGCGGAGATGGCGGGAGGGGCGATTGAAAACAGAAGTCGTGCTCTTTACTGTACTCCACAAGAAAGTTGAAGCATGCAGATGGTGGTGCTTTCAGAGAGCGTGCATCAATGATACCTAGGTGACGGGAGGATTACCCCCACGTGAAACTTGGCCCTTTAACCGATCAGCCAAAGCAGTTGGGGTGCCTTCGGGTAACTTGGGGTGCCCCTAATGGTCAACATCCTTCTAAGTGCAGTCTGTACTTCTGCCAAAGCATGCACCAGGTATGGTTTGTGTGTCTGTTTTGGATTTGGAGGGTGGAGTAAAATCTGTCAAAGGTTGAAACTTGCGGAAGCCAGTTGCCCCTGATATCGAACAGGTGGACTGAGATACTTCAGGGAAAAGAAGAGGGTGGGGCAGTACAGAAGTGAAAAAGTACAGAGACAGGAGCACAAAGTACAGTGCAGGACGCGGCTGAGTGTGAAAATGAGGGCGTGGTACATACAGTTCCGAACAGCCTTCATAAGAACTTCCACCACACTGTACCACGCGGTTATTTATCTATAGTACGTCGAAACCGTTATGAAACTTACTCTACCACTCTGGCCGTCCGAACTTTCAGGAATTTGGAACTGTATGTTCCACGCCCTGAGCGCTCGTACAAAACGAAATACATCGCGTTACGGTACTGAAACTTAGCGGTCAGAATGTGGGACCGATCACGGGCGACAGGAAACTTTGGGTGCACAAAAGGAAGGCCCTCATTGTTTGATGAAGCCTGGTGACGTAATAGCAAGCATGGCCACGTAATGGTGACATTTTCACCAGTCGGTGTTGGCGACCTCATGCTCCCTCACGTCTAGCATTTGAAGTGCCACCTCATCATCGAAAGCTTTTGCCGTCGATCTGGCCAAGATGTGAGGTGAGGGAGGGGATCCAATAAGGTTGGCGGTCTTGTTGGGTTCGGTTCGGTGGTGATGATGGCGAGATTGAATGGGGTGGAATTAGCTGGTATGTGGGGTGGGTGGGGTCAGATGCGCTGGTCCACTCCACTTGCCACGTAGGGTGGGGCTGGTGGCGGGAAATGTCGTTTCGGCCAGGGCACCCTTGATGGAACGCGGGAGTTCAAGCCCGCCACAAACAACACATCAAGCCACGACCACGATGCGATCCATTTATCTTCGTTAATGCGCAGCATCCTACACGTACTAGCAGAACTCTCTGATATCTACTTTCTTATGTTTTTTTTTCCTCTCTGACTGATTTGAACAGTGCGACTTCGAAATTCACGTGCCATTTGCCTGGGTGGTCGTGTGACGTGACGTTGACACCAGTTGTCACCTCCTGAGTAGTACCTTCCCAGTGCTGACGTGGCGCTCGCGCAACCTCTAACGTCACCCCATCTCACCGCTTGCCATTCTCACTCCTCACAAATTTCAACGGCCGCGATGCGCCGTAGATCCCCAGCTAGCGGTTGACGCGAGACAGCAGCCATCCCTCGAGAACGGAATGCGCGCGGCGCGCGACAGCGTGACTTGAGATTCCCCCCGCGCTCCGGCGTCCGTACATCGATACAAATCTCTTAATCTCCAGAATGGATTCTCACCTCATTCACCGTCTTGCCCCATTCTTCCGGCTAATAACTCTCCACGTCAAGACGACTGCCAGCACAGGGAGAGGAGTCAGAGAAGTTCTTTGCACAGCAAAGAGCAAGAGCAGCCTATCTGCTCTGAGGGAGAGGAGCCTGTCCCGCTTCGCTTCGCCGTACTACCTGCGACTTACCGCACGCTATCTTCCGCCTACGGATCCTCGTTATTGAGAATTCTCAAGATTGACTCGAATCGCTGTGACGATGGCGGCTCGTCTGCAGCTGTCCCTCCCTCTCCCCTTCGGCTCCCTCCCTTTCCTCTCCCTCCTCCTCCTTCTCGTGCTTTCCGCTGCTTCCGCGGTTAACGGAGTGGAGTACGAGTCCAGCTTTTGTGACCGCTACGTGCGCTACCTCGGGCTTACCTGCCGCGAGTACCAGGTACAGTTACTGGCGCTTACCGCCTTGTATTGGGTCACACTGTGTCAGGGATATTATGGTTAACGGAGTCAAGTACGAGTCGAGCTTTTGCAACCACTACGTGCGCTACCCCGGACTTACCTGCCGCGAGTATCAGGTACTACACTGCCCTGCACTAACTACCCTGTATCGGGTACACTCTCTGTCGGGGATATCAGAGCTGTCTGCATCAGTGAAGCTCCCTGGTGCAGTGATTGCTACCTAACCCCTTCCCCCTCCTCCCTCTTTTCCCTTCCCCTCCCCCCCCCCCCCCCCCCCTCCCCCCTCCTCCTCGCATTCCTTCCTCCCTCACTCCCTTCTCCGTCTCTCTAACTTTTTGCTCCCAATATCTCGTTTCTGCACCTTTTGCCCGACCTAACCTCACAGGTTACCACAGTGGACGGTTACGTCCTCAACTTCCAACGCATCCGTAACGCAACAGCTTATAACGCGTCCACTGCTGCAGCAACAGCATCTGCTGCTGCTCCAACCACCGCCAACGCTACCACCTCCTCCTCCTCTTCCTCCTCCTCCTCCTCCTCCTCCTCCTCCTCCTCCTCCTCCTCCTCCTCCTCCTCCTCCTCCTCCTCCTCCTCCTCCTCCTCCTCCTCCTCCTCCTCCTCCTCCTCCCCTCCCTACCCTGTGCTTCTAGACCACGGGCTTATACTGGGCGGCGAGCTCTGGTTCGGCCTCGCTAATGTCACAGTTGACCCTATCGCGTATAAGAGGCTGCCTGTGATTCTAGCGAATAGGGGCATGGACGTGTGGGTGGTCAACCACCGCTGCACCGAGTTCTCTCCCCGCCACGTCACCTACAGCACCACCCAGTGGGTGAGTTGAGACCTCTAGACGCGGTACTTTCAGTGGGAATGAGTGAGGGAGTGAGTGAGGTTGTGAGTGAGAGTGGTTGCCTGTTCTTCACCTGTCCCTGCTGTTGATTAACCTTTTTGGGTGGTCAACCACCGCTGCACCGAATTCTCTCCCCGCCACGTCACCTACAGCACCACCCAGTGGGTGAGTGAGGGAGTGAGTGGGTGAGTGTGTGAGTGAGGGAGTGAGCGGGTGAGTGAGGGAGTGAGCGGGTGAGTGAGGGAGTGAGCGGGTGAGTGAGGGAGGGTGAGCGCGTGGGTGAGTGGTTGCTCGTTCTTTGCCTGTCCCTGTTAGCCCCATTCCCTGCCCCTTTTTTTCAGCGATATGAGACTGGGGCTTTAACCAGCTCGTTAAATTCGACCCCCCTGCCGTGCTGTGGGCCCACTAGAATTTACCTTTGGGGTTTCATTCTTCCTTACCTTCGCCCCCCCTGCTGCCCTTCCCTCCAGAAACGGGTTACCAACAGGGCCTCTCTCCCTTTCCTCCCTCTCTTCTCGTTGTCTCTTCCTCTATTCCTGCTCCTCAGCTATTCTGTATACTCTATACAGGTATAGCTGGTTCAGTAAACAGTCTATTTTTGAGGCGCCTCAAAAAAGTGAACAGGTCCCTGTATACAAGACTGGTCCCCTTAAACGACTTGGACCAGCTGGTGCACTTCGACGTGGCTGCACTGCTGCGAGTCGTTTGAGGGGGTCTTTCCTCCCTGTATGCCCGCCTCTTCTCCAATCCTTTAGACCCCCCCTTCGCACCTCAGCAATACCAGGACTTCGACTTGATTTTGCAGGGTGTTTTTGAGAATTCTCAAAAACACCCTGCAAAATCAGGGACTTGGACCAGCTGGTTCAGTTCGATATGGCTGTACTGCTGCGAGTCAGCAGAGTGCACGGCTGCACTGTGCTCAGGCTGTCTCTTCATTCTTCCTTACTTTTGCCATCCCTTGTGCCATCAGCAATACTGGGACTGGTACTTGGACCAGCTGGTGCAGTTCGACCTCCCTGCACCAGTGCTACTGATACGGGCACTCGCTCTTCCCCTCCTTCCCACTTTCCCCTCACCCCCTCCCCCCTTGTTCTATCCCTCAGCAATACTGGGACTGGGATTTCGACCAGCTGGTGCAGTTCGACCTCCCTGCAGTGCTGAGAGTCGTCACTGCCGTCTCTGGCGCCCCTAAAGTGCACCTCGTGGGATATAACCAGGTGAGGCGTAAGTACAGCTACCACCGTTGACACATGTTAGTAGGAGCACGTGTGAACCACCAGCAGGCAGCCCCTCGGACTTACTCCCTGCATTTTGGAGGGTGGTCGTCACCGCCGTGTCTGGCGCCCCCAGAGTGAACCTTGTGGGGCACAACCAGGTGAGGCCGCTTGCCCCGATGTTGCAGCCCCACTGGTCACTGCAGCCCCACCAGTCACTGCAGCCCCACCGGTCACTGCAGCCCCACCGGTCACTGCATACCAACCAGGAAGTAGGCAGGCCCACTCACTCCCTCCCTCCCTCCCTACACGTCACTGCCGTGAGCGACTCGCCCGGAGTGCACCTCGTGGGGTACAACAACCAGGTGAGGATTCCTTTTTTTAGGTGCTTCAAAGTGCTCCTAGGTGCTGCCATCAGGCTGTGGTCGCGTCGCATTCACCAAAACCCCTCTCAGGGTGCCATGAATCCCTTCGCCCTCGCATCCACCTACCCTGAATACACCCGCCAGCGGCCAGACAGGCCATAGCTTCCGTGGCTGCTCTCATTTAAGTGCAACCACCTACCCCGAGTACCACCGCCAGACCATCGCCTCTCTGCTGTTCCCCCATGCCCCGCCCTCTCTCCCCCCTTCACCCCCTCCTCCCCCCTCAGGGCGCCATGCTCCCCTTCGCCCTCGCATCCACCTACCCCGAGTACACCCGCCAGACAGTCGCCTCTGTGGCTGCCATTGCCCCAATTGCTTACCTAGTGAACATCACATCGCCCGTGCTGGACCCATGGGCTAACAACTGGAGCCCTGACATTGTAAGTGCATGTTCCAGTTGTCTCTCTAGTCGTTCTGCTGCTGTCTGTGTCTCTTAGCTGTTTCTGTGGCTGCAATCGCACCTATTGCCTACCTAGTCAACATCACCTCCCCCGTGCCAGACCCATGGGCTAACAACTGGAGCCCTGACTGACATTGTAACTCCCTTGGCCGTGGTTGCCATTGCACCCATGCCATTGCACCCATGCCATTTCATCCATGCCATTGCACCTATGGTTTATTGTTTATCGTGTTTCTATCACAACTTCTGGTCCCTGCCTCACAAGTCACAATCTCATCCTTACTGTTTTTTTTTTTGTTTTTTTGTTTTTTGCTTTTTTTACCTTTCCAGTTTTTCTACCAGAATCGCGTGCTCAATGGAGCCTACAACCTCACAGCGTGAGTCTGTGTTCCTATTTGCAAAAACGTCTCACACCAATTGCACAATAACAACTCATGAAAATCTTATTCTTCGCTTCATTTTCTTCCATTTCCTTTTCTTTCACTTCCTTTTCTTTGACTTCCTTTTCTTCCATTTCCTTTTGCCCATGATCATTCAGGACGGAGGTTCTAGTCTCGACTCTTCGCCGGGTGGGGTTCAACTTCTACACTGTATTCACTCCCTCAGGGAATGTACAGGACATCCTCAGTAACGTCACAGGTACGGAATTTGCATTGGCATCTTATAAGCTCGTAGTATCCACAGTGTATTCCCCCCCTCAGAAAACGTTCTTGACATCCCCAGTTATGTCACCGGTGCAGGATTCCCAATGGTATTGTATTATAAACGATGGTATTTTATACTCGTACCACTGTATTCACAATCGTATTCTATAGTCAACAACGTTACCATTTTATTCACAATGAGGTTCTATAATCAACAATGGTACCATTGTATTAACAATGGTATGGTTCCCTTGTCATATTTCTAACTTCTACACTGTACATGATATTCTCTCTGTTGTCACAGCTTGGTTTAGGTTATCACTCCCCTCCCACCCCTTCCTCCCTCCCATCCCCTTTCCTCCTCCCATCCCCTGCCCCCCAGGTCCCATCTGCTGCGTGGACTCCTATTCTCCACCCTTAGCCCTCAACCCCCAGTGGGTCGCTACGTCCTACCGTCATGCATCTCCACTCCTCTCCTCCACTGAATCGCTCTCCTCCTCCTTTCACCATCCCATCCCCTATTCCTTCCCCTCCCCAGGTCCCATCTGCTGCATGGACCCCTACGCCCCTCCACTCTCCCTCAACCCCCAGTGGGTCGCCACTTCATACCGCGCTCTGATTCACTACCAGCAGGGTGAGTGGCCTGTCTGTACCCGCTTTTAGCTTCCTCGTTACTCACAATGCTCTGCATGCTGCATGGACCCCAACGCCCCGCCTCTAGCCCTCAACCCCCAGTGGGTCGCCACATCCTACTGCGCTCTCATTCACTACCAGCAGGGTGAGTGGACTGGACCGTGCCCGTTATTAGCCTCCTCGTTACTCACAGTGCTCTGCATGCTGCATGGATCCCAATGCGCCCCCCTTGCCACTTCACCCCTAGTGGGTCCCTACTTTGTACAGTGCTCTCATTCACTACCAGCAAGGTGGGTGAAAGTGTGCCTTACACCCTAACCCTAAACCCTAGACCTTCAACCCTACTGCCCCCTCTTTAGACCACAACCCCCAGAAACCGTTTCTTATGTCTGCACTCTCATGCACTCTCATGCACGCTCATGCAGTCTCATCCACCCAACCATACATGCCAAATGCTTCCTGGTCAATCAGTGTCCTATGCTCCTCCCCTCTCTCCCCACACGCCTGTGGGAATTCCCATCCTCCTCCTTCCTCCCCGCCCCCCGTCCTTCCTTCCCTCAACGTGTAGAGATCCGAGCAAGACAGTTCCAGCTGCGGGATTTCCTTTCAGCAGAAGCCAACATGTAACTATGGCTCCTTCACCCCCCCTCTCCATGTTCGCACATCAAGTAGCTCCCCCCCCCCTCCCCCTTCCCCCCCTCCTCCTCCCCCCTTCCCTTCCTGCAAAAACCAGAGATCCGAGCAAGGCAGTTCCAGCTGTGGGATTTCCTCTCAGCTGAAGTCAACATTGCCAACTATGGCTCCTCCACACCCCCTCTGGTGAGAACAATGCTGTATAAGCACAAATGCGTGCGTATTAGCACAGCAAACTCAAACCACGTGTAAGCACAGTAGGTAAGCCGTACTATCTTTCGTTTATCAAGTCAGCAGCAGCCCCCGTTCTCCAATTTCGCTCCTCGCACCCCCTTCTCCTCGCCCCCCCTTCTCCTCGCCCCCCCTTCTCAAGGTGAGGTGACTTTTGAGTCGACTCAAAAGTCACTTTCCCCCCTCGCACCCCCTTCTCCTCGCCCCCTCTCCCCTTGCTGTGCCCCCCACCTTCTCCCCCACCAGTTATTCCCGGGCGGCTTGCCCACCAAACCAACACTTGGATCGGTACATTAATATTATTCATCCCCCCCCCACCCCCCGAACCACCACCCCCCGCACCACCACCTTTCTCTCCAACAGTACTACCCGAGCCGCCTGCCCACCAACATTCCGGTCCTCCTTATATCCGGAAGCAACGATTGGTTTGCCGACCCTCCCAATGTGGCTCGGCTCAAGTCGCAGCTCGGCACGAGTCGGTGGTTGGAGCATGTGGAAGTGCCCATGTACTCACACTTTGACCTGATCTATGGCGAAAATGTGCATGTGGATGTGTTTGCTAAAGTTGCAAATTTTCTAGGGCCAGCAGGAAGGTAGGGAGGGAGGATAAAAATGTATCAAATTGGCGCTTGTACCGGTATATTATGATAATACCGTAATCCCCCGGATATAACACCCGCCGGAATAGTCACTCCATGGGTGGTTAATACGGGGGGGAGCTTATGATATGGTGCATTTTTTAGAGTACCCGCTTTTCAGATGACGAATTTTACATAACACCCTCCTCGTTTTATTCGTTTGAAAACTGAATTTGTTCTTGTATTACAAGGTCCGCTCAGTTGCAAAAAGCGAGCATGATGAAATCGTGCGTCAACAACCGTTAGCACCGGAAAAACCGGGCAGAAATGAATTGTTGGGAATCGAATTGAGGGGAAGGAGGAATCGAATTTTGGGGTAAGGGGGAATCGAAAACGTGGGGGGAAGGGGGAAGGGAATCGAAAATGTGGGGGGAAGGGGGATTCGAAACTTTCAGGGGGAGGGGGATTCGAAATTGTCAGTGAAGGGGGAATCGAAATTGTCGGTTGTTGAAAGTACATCAAAAGACTTAAGCGTTTCTGAAGTGTAACACTACACTCGAGGAAGATTGCAAGGGGTACGCGAGTCAACGGAGGTTACACGAGGGGGCGGACAAAGAACACGAAGGGTCTGGGACTCTAAGGGTCGCAACTGGAGGTTGCGACTGACCGTTACAACAGCACGGATGGTAACCGAAGCGACAATCGAGTCGCTGTACGACTCGATAAACCGCTACTATAACTGTACTCTACAACTGTTTTCTTATCTTCTATATATTGCTGTATGTTTGCTTCTTTAATCAATCACTTGTTCTCACATACTAGTACAAGGGTTCAACTGACTCAACTTCCGCTGCACTACTCAAGTCTTTTACAACTGGGACTTAGTCTCTGGAAAGATCCCAAGGGCTATTCTCAGCCCAACATGGTATGAGAGCTGGTCAGAGACCAAACTCCCAGCAACTACGTTCTATCAACAAACTGCAACTCAACTCAATTCAACGACTTCATTGATTGCAAGACATGGACAGCAAGTGCAAGAAAGTCTCTACGGGCTCACCCAGCGGCCAAGAAACTCAACACGGCAACTCTGGTCTGCACACCTCAGGACTGCAGACAGAGACCGGGACTGCTCAAGAAACAACGGGAAGAGTACCAGAGATGGTGACTCCATCTCCCTCGTCAAGCGTGGACCCCAACCTTATGGAAAGATTCTTCAGCTTCATGTCGCACTTCGACCAACAGCAGCAGACAAGGACACCTGCGCATTCAACACAGAGCAATGGAGGAAACATGGGATTAGCGCCGATGAGCCTCGACAACTCATCCTTCGGGCGACACAACCAAGCGCCTACCTTTGCGCCTTATCATTCTTCACCGGGGACGTTCGAGTTCATGCCGCCCCGCGCCCAACCAACAACAGCTGCATCACAACAAACACCAAACGAGATTCTCAGTCTTCAGGCTCAATTCTCACACGTCATCAAGTTACAAACATCCTCACCGTTCAACGGACACGACTTCTTTACCTGGAGCTTCGAGTTCGAGCTGCTAATGGAGGCCGCGCATCTTCTGGGATACTTCAACGGGTCCCTGCCATTTCCAAGCAACGGCACTGGAAAGGAGCAAGAGATCTTCACGTATCAGTCGCTGCTGGCGTATACAGTCCTCCTGCGGAACCTGTCACCACAAGAGCAGCAGAGCATCAGAACATATCGGAGCTATGGGAACTCCGCGGAACTCGCATGGCATCATCTCAAGTGCCTTTATCAAGCAAACGACAGCGTGACGCAAAGCAGACTCATGCAACAACTGACAACAATACAGATGAAGACCGGGGAAAAGGCAATGCAATATATGAGTCGCTGCCAGACTCTCCGCGACCGCCTGCTTCGGTGCGGAGGAACAATCACTGAAGAAAGCTTCGTGACACTTGTCCTCGCCGGGCTCGGGCCAGAATGGAGAACCACACGATCACTTCTTCGCGCCCACGGAAGAATTTCGGAGATGCATCTCTGCGCCGAGCTTCACGCTGAACAACAGGAGATGGACCTGTTCGAAGAAAGGCAACCAAGGAAGCAGCAGCAGTTAGTCTTCTACACTCAACGAAGAAACGACAACACCTACAATCGACGCGGCAAGCAAGAGCGCGACAACAGAGGGACTACCTTCGTGCCGCCGTTCTGCCACAACTGTCAGACTTCCGGGCACTCCAAGGTCAACTGCAACCGCCCTCGCGTTTACCGTCCAGCAGACCCACAAGTCGCCTCAACCCAAGCAAGTCCCCCAAGGCGCTCTTCAACATCTGCACAACAGACACCAAATATTATTAACTGCATGGTACACATCGACAACTGCGCACCCGGATCACCACCCACTTACGCGCCAGACGAAGAAGAGTTCCCACCATCGCGCTCACAAGGTCTTCAAGTCAATCCAACATATGCTGCGGTCGCCAACGCCGAACCCACCGGGCGAAACACTTGGTTCTTGGACAGCTGCTGCGGTCAACACATGTGCTCCTCGGGACGCTTCGTGCAACAGGAGAAACGGCTCAACCGCGACGTCGTCATCACCGTCGCCAACAACGAAAACATGAAAACAAACAGACAAGGCGTGGTTCAGTTACAATCAATGGAGACAAACGTTATCCTCCAGCTCAACAAGGTCCTCATCGTCGACAATCTGGGATACAACCTACTAAGTGTAAGCCAACTAATGGCTAAGGGGATTCACCTGGAGTGCGACTCCTTCTCCAACGAGTTTCGGCTTTACCACGGGAAGGGCGGCCTCTTCATCGGTCGTGCCCTCCTGAAGTCCGGTGTCTTCGTGTTGGACTTCGTCCCCGACCGCGGTACCGCCGACAGCGACGGTATCGTATCGTTCGCCGCCTGGACACACCCGCCGGATCTTGATCCCGACTTCGACAGTGACGGCTTCTGGCACTCCAACACCATACCTGCAGCAGAAAGAACACGAGCATTAGCAGTTATCAGACAAGAAAGACAAGTACCCGCAAATATACCAACCAAACCATCACCTGCAGTATCGGCAGCAGGACCCAGCCGAGTCCCACCACCAGCGATCCGAGGACCGCCAACCGAAGCAGACCAGCTTATGCCCGTCACACGAGAAGTTTGTCGAAGTCCCGCCTCAGTCGTCGCGTTCTTCTCCAACGCCGACATATACCACCGCTCACCCGGCCATCGCGCTCCCGACGACATCTGGCACCAACGCCTCGGGCACCCTGCAAATAGTACAATACTACAAACCATCCAAGCCGAAGTGTTAGAACGCAACGCCCTCCTAACAACGAGCGGCCAAGAACTTCGACGACCTCGCGCACGGTGCTTCACGTGCCCCGAAGCAGATCTTCCTCATCAACCCTTCCCATCACATCATAATCCAAGCGCGCCTGCATTTGCAACGATGGAAAAAGTCTACAGCGACATCTTGAACATGCCTCGAGACGACACGGAAGCCGACTTCAACTACGTCATCACCTTCGTCGATGCAGCAACAAGATACACTTGGCATTACAACCTCAAGACGCGCGATCAAGCCTTCGACGCCTTCACAACATGGCTCCCCATCGCCGAACGGGAATCAGGAACCAAGCTCAAAAGCTTCCAGTCAGACGGTGCACTGGAATACCAGTCACAACGCTTCAGGACCTATCTGGCGGAAAGAGGAATCAAGCGCCTGGTGTCCCTACCATACGCTCACCAACAGCAGGGGGTCGCAGAACGCATGAACCGGACCTTGCAGACGACGATGCGAAAGCTGCTCCTGGGGATGAAACTGCCCAACACACTGTGGCCAGACGCGATGACACATGCAGTCCACCTGCACAACCTGTTGTCCTCGTCATCGCTCCCCAACAACGCATCACCGCACCTGCTGTGGACGGGAAAAAGGGGCAGCACAAAATTACTTCGAGTTTTCGGCTGCATGGTACAATACAGACCCCACACAGCTCGAGCAGGACGCTTCACTCAACGAGCTCGGTGGGGACTACACCTCGGCATCGCCAAACATTTTCACGCGTGGAAGATTCTCGACATACAAGACAAAAACACGGTGGCATCACGTGATGTTATCTTCTACGAGCGACTGACGCTGCAGCATTACCTGGACAACATTGCCAACTCAGACGACCCCACCGACGGCTTCGCGGGCCTTCGCTCCTTCGCTGACCATGCTGCCGAGGCTGACGCAGCAGAAGAAGACGTCCCTGGAGCCTCGGAGGCTGCCGGACCACTCCCCTACTGCTCCGTACCTGTTCCACTCGATGAAGATAATCCCCTCGATAGCAACAACCTCGACACCTTTTACCACTTCGCTGACCAAGGCTACGCTACACCACACCCCGTCGACTCGAATATTTCCGAACGCATCGGGCCAAACTTCTTACCCGATCCTGAAGACGGTGATGAAGCAGCTTATCCCGAGAATGAAAATTCCCCTCGACACACAGCCACGGGACTGCAGATCCTAGGACTATGGGTCTCCGTCCAGCACCCGCCGCCGCCTTCTCCGCGCGAGCCGTCGACCGTGTCGCAGGCTCTGGGGGGGGAACATAAGGCGAAATGGAAGGAAGCAATGGAAAAAGAGTTAAAAGCCCTCCAAGACCGGAATACATGGAAGTTAGTACCGACAACCAACACCAACGGGAGGAACATTCTCTCGGGGAAATGGGTGTACCGCATTAAGACCAACGCGGACGGCTCCATCGAACGTTTTAAAGCGCGATGGGTCGTACGAGGCTTCGACCAACGATACGGAACCGACTACACAGAAACCTTCGCCCCAGTCTCCCGTCACACCTCCCTGCGCATCCTACTCGCCGTCGCGGCCACGAAGAAACTACCACTACGGCAAATCGACGTCGCAAACGCCTTCTTGTACGCACCTGTGGACGCCGAAATCTTCGTCGAACAACCCCACGGATTCATCGACGACCCTTCAAAAGTATGCCAGCTGGAAAAATCCCTTTACGGGATCAAGCAAGCCCCACGGCTCTGGCAGCAGCACCTTCACGGCCGGCTCGTAAAAATCGGATTCCTACAGTTACCACATGACCAAGGCATGTACCGACTGCAGAAGGGAAGAGATTACATTCTGCTCATCGTCTACGTCGACGACCTGCTCTACATCGGTTCTACCACCGACATCGTCACCTGGTTCGAAGGGGAGCTGAAAGGGGACCTG